TTTTTTTTGTAGTAGCAGATCGCCTCACAGGTGAAACGATGATATTTTGGGGTAAAAGCTCTTTTCAGAGTTAATAAAATGACCTGGAATGTTACCTTTGCTGCGATCTATTAGACCTCATTTATGCAGAGGAACGTTTCGTCATTCACTGTGAATTTGTTCCTTTTTTTTTCATTTTTGATATTAAAATAAATACTTTTGTCATAAAAGACTCTGCTTCTGATTTTTACTTGTAGAATTAAAATATTTTAATGTCAGTTTTTCAAAAGCTGCAGATTGTTTTTTATGTCTTTCTTTCAGGTACTTTCAGGTACCCACAGATGTTGCATCTTCATGTTGTTTGCCCCTTGAATAATTTACAAAAATCAGAATGTTCCATTTAGTCTTTAACAGCTTCATTTAATTATGAAAGCAGTGCAAATAATTGTTCTGTATACTGTATAATGTTTCAGAGGAGTGGTGTAATATTCAATGTAAGAAAAATTGTTAAATTATTATTAAATTATTAACGTAAAGCAGCAGAAAAAACATGAAAAGAAAGATGGAGAGACAAACGTCTTCTCCTGGACAGGTGAGCTGCTTCCTTTTCCCATGATGCCTATTGTTACACTACTTAAAAGCAAGGTTGTATCTGGGGTGGGGTGTGACACAAAGTGAAAAGAAAACTATTAACTGCCACAAAGTTAACGTCAGTAAAAAACTATTTCACAACCAAGCGACCCAATGAGGCCCAAAATCCACTGTGGTTCACAATTATCTGTGTAAAGGCACACCTTTACTCACAACACCAAAGTCACGACATTTTTCATAAATTCACACGGCGACAGCCCACTGCCCGAACCACTGTAGCCCACATCCCAGAGAAAAGCGAAGGAAAAGGGGGCGTGGCATTTTGAGGCGGCAGTGCTGACGAGCTGCACTACATCTCAGCTGCAGCTTGAGAGACAGACCTGGAACACAGAAGGAGGAGACAGAGCTCTCTCACATGGGGAGACCCCCGGTCAGCGACCATAACACCTATCAACTAGCTTAGCATTCTGCTAACTGTGATCACTAGAGTCTCGAGCTTCACGTGCACAGAGACGCCAATAATAAAGTTTTTCCTCAGCTGGTTTCTCACCATGTGGGGAAAAACGATTTAAAACATGAACATGTTGGTGGTGCGCAGAGAACTTCTGTTTCAGGAGTTTTGTCCTCACCATCATAGTGAGGAAAAATTATATCTCAGGATGTGAAAAAATAACAATTTAGTTTCATCTTTAGGAGAAAAGTGAAGGAGCCGGACCCTAGATAAAGTGCCTCAGGTACATGGATGGAACGAGTCAGTCATACGAGGTAGTGGTGTAGCTGGTGGATGGTTTTGTGTCTGTGTTAAAACGAGACCAATCCTACACCCTGTTTAGCTCCTGGTTGATTCGGAGCTTCATCAGTCTGCGGAGCAGCTGATGTTCTTTCCTGTGATAAATGATTTTCTCACGTGAGTCGTCATGTGCTTTTTCACATGTGTGACGTTATAAAATCTTTTCCCACACAGCGAGGAGCTGAAGGCTTTCTCTTCTGCGTGACTCTTCAGATGCTGTTTGAGACTCCGGCTGTGAGTAAATCTTCTCCCACACTCGGAGCAGCTAAAAGCTTTTTGTCCCGTGTGGATCAACATGTGAGAATTGAGGTCGGCGTTGCGGCCGAATGTTTTGCTGCACCTGCAGCAGCTGTAGGGTTTTTCTCCCGTGTGGATGCACAGGTGTTGTTTCAGGTTCCCGCTGTGTGTGAACGTTTTACTGCAGAACTTGCAGCTGAATGGTTTCTCCCCCGTGTGGGTCCTCTGGTGGTTTATTAGCGTTGTCTTGTCTTTAAAGCTTCGTCCACACTCAGAGCAGCTGAACGGTTTCTTTTCCGTGTGAATCCCCATGTGTCTCTGCAGGTTTCCACTGTCCACAAATCTTCGTCCACACTCAGAGCAGCTGAACGGTTTCTTTTCCGTGTGAATCCCCATGTGTCTCTGCAGGTTTCCACTGTCCACAAATCTTTTTCCACACTGAGAGCAGCTGACAGGTTTCTCTCCTGTGTGGGTTCTCTGGTGTCTGCTCAGATTTCTGCTGTGACCAAATTTTCTCCCACAGACAGAGCAGCTGAATGGTTTCTCATCAGCATCACCTGATGCCCGAGGCGCTGCAGGTTCACGGCTCGGCTCACACTCATCAGAATCACTGACGTCTGTGTCTGAAGAGCCTGAAGTTTTCCCATCAGGCTGTAGATCTGGATCAGGCTCTGGTCTTCCCACAGAGTCACTGACCTCCTCAGTCTGTCTGTGATAAAGCTGTAAGGATTCAGGTTTCTCTTCACCATCCTCACCCTTCACAGGGGCAGGGATGGAAGTGAGCTGGGCGATGACGACCTCCTCCTGTTCGTCTTTAATGTCTGGGTCCTCCCGGTCCACACTGGAGCTCCACTCCTGCTCGTCTTTTTCACCAATAATCACTTTTTGGACACCCAGAGGTAAACCTGAAACACAAACATTAATACCGAGCTGATTTTGTCCTGAAACCAGAAAATTTTCACAAAGTGACAGTTACTTTTTGTGGATAATGAACATATTTTTACATGACCATGACGATTAATATGACTTTTAGGGGTATATATATATATATATATATATATGTATATGTATAGCTCGTATTTATTCAGGACTTGTTTTCAGTTGATCAGCTTTTCTCCTGTCTCCTCACCTGCTCTGTGCGCTGGTGGGAGGAGCTAAGTGGAGGTGACATACCATCAGAGAGAAGCTAGCGTGATGCTAGTGTTAGCTTATCATCAGCAGCGAATCTGTTTCCAGCAGCAGCAATAAAACTCACCTTCTTTTCTCGGTTCCAGTTCCATCTTTAAATCAGCTTCTGGTGGTTCACAGTGTCGGGCCACCTATATGTGTACTTTTAAGGAAAACACGACAGAGTAGGAGTAGGTATTGATTTATAAATACTATTATATTTATAAACTAAGCTGTAGTGTTTGCACAAACCAAACACTAAATAAGAACTCATCACTGTGCAACAGACATTTAGAAGAACCTAGCTAGTTCTATCTATCTGTCTGTATGTCTCTAACTAACTTGGCAGCTTATTCTTTTTCTTGACAATACTTTCTTTAACGATTGAAGACATTTTGGGGTCAACGTAAAAGAAAGGCAGATGTGAAATGTAAAATTGAGGTCAGAGGTTAAATATGACAAAGTTTCTATTTATTGACAACAAACACTTCTAAGAGTCATAGTTTCTGAGTTATAAGGCTTTTTGTCAGTTGTTGCATATAAATCTGAGTTGACCATGAAGCCCTCGATGGGTGTAAGATAAATTTGAAGGGATCGTTAA